AGTATGACGATCGAAAAGGTTTTTTGAGATTACCGACCCATCAATTTCAAGACTTAGTATTTTACAAAAAAATAAAATGCGGAATAAAAAAAGGTGAAACTGATTAAAAGCTTTACGTCATTCATGATAAAAAATTTACAAAGTTTGCTCACGTTTCCTTACAAATGTTTGAAAGGAAACGAGAGAAAAAAAAATACAAGTTATAAATGAAACTGAAAGCAAGTCACACATTCAAAGGCCCTCTAACATCTTGACCATTATCCTCTTCCTTCCTTTCCAAGTTTAAAGCAAGGTGGAAAATTTATCCATATCCGCCCACCCAGAGGAAACGAGCTTCACTTTCACCATTCTATCGACGCTGAAGGTCATTCCTTTCCTAAGCTGTGCAGCAAGGAGTTCCACCTGACAAGGGTGGGAAGAGAGTTCAACTAAAAACTCATCAGACGTACTCATCATCACCATCTTCTCCTTCAGAGTTTAGTTCTCTCTATGAGTAACCAACAGTAACTGATAGTCTTAGTATTTTTGCTTCAACCGCCTTCGACCGTTCCTCTATTGCTTCTACCCTCTCCTCGACCACGACACTCTTTACCTTTTCTTCTTCTTGTTCTTCAATTTCTTAGAGATGGGCGATCGATTGGAAGTGAGAAACCTCCCAGGCCATCGATTGATGTTTGATGGTCATCTGACACAGTCTCGAGAAGTTTTGCACATTAAGGATATTCTTGTAATTATGTGATCATATGATGTCAGTGAAAGTTGAGGGGTATAAAGTCGCAGTAAGGGAATTAGAGGACCAATCTCTTCTTAGATTGATCAAGATAAACCAACCATCTGAGCTGATGTTAACCTTCGCCCTCTCGTCTAGCATATGAACCCAGATAAGTGGGGAGCCCTTTTATTTCTTTCAGGGAGGGGAAGGAGAGACACTCAAATCTGTTGTAGGTTCTTTCCCCTTACAATGATGCTTCCCTTTGTGTCTAATTGGCTTGGGTTCGGACTCAGAATTACTCAAACTAATAAGAGAACGACAACTGACTTCATCCCTTGCAGATAGAATAAAGGATGCCAGAGCAACTAACCGAGGAATGATAGATCTAGCTTTCTATATTTCTGCCAAAGTATCCCCCTCAAGTTGGCTCAACTTCACCTGGCTTGCTATTCTCTCAGCCTCTTGGTGTTTTACACTCAAGGGACTTGCATATGATAGAGAGCTTTTAGTGGGCATTGCAGAAGTTTTCCTCTCAATGAGGATTAGCTTGTCAGTGGTGATTCTTTAAAAATAATAGAAGTCTCAAACACAAAGTAAAACATTTTGCACCTTCTAGATCCTCTATAGCAGAGGCCACAAGTGGCCTCCTCCTGCTACTACAACTATTTTGTAGCGAGCAAACTCGACATGGTCCGCCACTTGGGATTTCTTCTTTGTAGCTCGAGTGGTAATCATTGCATCCCTCTCAATTCTTGAGTGTCATAGGTTGCCCAATTTGTCTCCATCATTAACTTAAATGAATCTTGTTGCATCACTTGGTTGACAGTCACCAGATCATGGTACTGGAGGATAGAAGTTGTCACTGTTCTACCTTCAAAGGCTCCTCCAGTACACAATATGAAACTTTCTTATTTGACTTGGCAGGGTTTGGATGACCAACCCTGAAAATAAGAACCAAGACAGAAACATAGCTTTCAATACTTTACTTTGTTCTTCAACCCCAACATCTGAACCTTGCTGTGGGAGGCAAGTTGAATGTATCCATCTAGGTCGACCCAAAACAAAAACAAATATGCTAAGAACTCCATCGACCAGAGGATTTTCGGCCTACGATAGATGATAACAAAATTGTTGATGTTTATAAAATTTGACAAAATTTAGGCTAGGATAACTTCATAGAAATTGAAAATAGCTCGTAACTCTCATAAAAAAAGGAATCCTTTGTAGAAGACAAGGTCAACACCAAATGGAGTAGTTGCCTGATCATTCTCACCGGTGACCCGGAGCTTCGCAGCAGAATCAAAGACACAAGCCTCATGAAGTCAATCTACTTCCAATGTGTCATTGTCGATCAATATGTTGTAAGGATTTATCAAAAGGTTTTGGGAGAGTACTTCGAAGCAATTGGCATAACTTTCACACAGAGGTAAAAATAAATTTGACGGTAATTTTGAAAATGTATTGACATAAAGATCATATCAACACATGAATCGATATGGGAAAAATAAATTTCCTTTAAGGAAAAACATATGTTGTAATTTATGCTCGAAAGCTAGTCTGAAAGAAAATATCTTGCAAGGAATTTGTTTGTGGCTTTGGCCATGACATAGCTCAGTCGAAGCAACCTTTTGTACAAAACTTCTCACCAATATTTGAATTACTTCACCCGATCCATCTCGGTCTGAGACCAGAGTATGAAACATTTATCTCGGAAGTCCAACATTTCCTGGCTAAGAGCAGCCATCTCCTCCTTTGTCCTCTCTATTTTCTCCACATGAGCAAACGACTTGTGTATCTCCTTCCCTTGTTGAATCCCAACTGACCAAGCAAAGTAGTTCTCAATCTCATCCAGACGGCGAGCCAACAACCCATCCGATGTCTGAGGTTCAATAGTTGTTTCCTCGCAAAAACTACCTAGGCGATCAATCCTACCATTCTCACTTGAGAGTCAAACACTCTCGGCCGACATCTTAGTTGGATTGCCAACAATGTTTGATGAAGGCAAGTTAACACCTAAAACTATCAGGTCAGTTGCACCAAAAGACAATGTAAAGAGGAGAGTTAGGACAAAATAAAATGTAAAAATCAAGGCCAAGGCTCCTCATTCCAAGGAGTCAATCCCACTCAAACGACATAACTGAAATAGTGCCCTCACTGAATGACAACTTAGACGAGCAGCTTCTTGCACGTTGGGCGGTGGTAGAGCACCAATAGTTTCTTGCGTTCTGGTGGTGACAGAGCACCAGAACTTCTTGTGCAATCTATTTGGTCAGTTGGTTTCACGCTATAGTAGAATTTTTAGCCGACAGACCAATGGTCAGGTCGGTTGCCTGAATTTACCTCCGCTGAGAGCTAAGAAACAAATCAGACTACCTTACATGATCTTTCAACGCAATTACTTCTCTCTTCTTAGCAATTATTTTCTTATGCTTTTCAACTTCTAGGTGGTACTGCTCCTTCGCTCTCCTGAAGACAGCTTGAAGGATATCCTTACTAGAGACACCAACTTAGGGATTTGACTCATTATCCATGACACTGCTTGGGAGTCGAGAAATTCAGACGTGAAAGGATGCAAAGAAAAAATGGAAAGTAAAGAGTCCTGTCACACATTATTTATAAGGACCAAAGGCGTGAAAATCAAAGGAGTTCAATTATTGAATCATTGATTAAGAAAAAAAAATTATGTAATTTTTGCAATGAATTCTATTATTCTTATCGCAATGTCAATTTCAAGAAGTAAGATAATTAGAGAACTAAAATGTGTGCATGAAAAATATGTCAGCGCTAATTCTGAGTAGATCTAACTGTCCAATAGAGAATAATACAACGGAGGACCCACTGACAAAAGACCATGAGGCCCATTATCTGACCGAGTGTAGACATTCGCCAAAGCCAACAAGACTAAACCCGACTAAGTCATGAAAAATTATCAAATGATATTAATTCAAGCTGTTTGGTCGGAAACAAAATAAAGAGACATCCAAGCCAACTGGAATGAAGATGCCAACTCGAGGGAAGACCTAGCTCACGACATCTCCAATCATGTGGGGGATGTTTAGATGCTCCCAACTGACAACGCCTACTAAGCTTAGCCAACTAAAGTGATCTTGTCAAGCCGAAGCCAAACAAATTCACTCGATCGAGCTAGAGAGTAGCAGAGCGATAGACTCACTCATACTTTTGAAATACCAATAATACCCTATATAGCCCCCATTAAAAGCAAAAACAAATTTTAAGTGCACTTGTCCATCCTAGACATAACATTGTTTTGTCCCTAGACAATATATATATATATATATATAGTAAATTTAATGACTTTAAAATATTTGTAGCCAATTTTTTGCCCTATATAGATTAGGCAAATGGAACTGCCAAAAAGAAGTGCAATCAATTGGGGTAAAATAAATGCGGGGTGGTTACAGTTCTTTTTCTACAATTTATTTGTTGTTTCATAGACTTATTAATAACATCGTTGAGGTCATTTAGTAGCCGTTGGAAGTTGGTGCTTCTAAATTTTGCACTCCACCAAGGAGGAGAATTAAATACCTAGCAAATTACGTTCAAGTGGACCCCATGTACCTATATGGGTTGACGTGTCAAAATATGATTGAATGGTTTTATTTGATGCCTGGATGCTGCCTTCCCACAAATAAACAGGACAGAATCCTTTCTTCTGTTTTTTTTAGAAGGAGCTTATAAATTAATTTAATTATTTGAAGGGATTAGATTTTTTAAATTTATAGAATATATATATATATATATAATCTCCTTAAATCCATCTTTCTTTAAAATTACTAATTACTCTCCACATGGTATAATGATATGGCATAAGATGCTCTATTGAAAATGAAGATATTAACTTCAAATGATGCAAGTTTGAATTTATCCTTGCTATCTTTGAATAATTAAATCATATTCTTCATGCATGTACATAAAATCCATGCATTTTTATTTATTTATCCTCTAGATAAATTCCACTTGGACGTTCCTCAGATTTGCTTACTTGGTCTTGTTTAACATTAATTATATATATTAACATTATCATTTTTAATTAAAATAAAATAATTATATATACA